ATCTTTTTTTTTTTGGTTTCTCAATGATATACTGATTAAAATAAATACAATGAACTTTCTCCTAAAATGCTTATGAATATATTACAGTCAAGTGCAACTATATAAGGGCCATTCTACAGAATTGGAAACTGCTGTCCCACAATCAAACATTTGAAATGTATTTAAGTATTCAAGTCTTAGATGTTTACAAATACCCTTTTATTATCTATTGAAACCCACAATATTTAAAATATCTGTAAGCTTTATATATATGTGTGTATATACATATATATATATATATATATATATCATCATTTTTGGGTGCTTTCAATTGCGAGGTGGTTGTCCTGAACCCTAAATTTCTACTTATGAAAATTATATTGAAATATGTTTTCCATTTTATTCCATTGTTGTTTTTAAACATTTATTTTTGACTATATATATATATATATATATTCTTTGTAAATGATGAAATAAAATTGTGCCCTGTATTTTCATGTATTTTTTTCATTTTCATGTATGTTTTAGTTTTAGTTCATTGACTGAGAATGATTTTAAGTACAGCCCTACATTTATGATGAGGAATTATTCCTGTCTTTCTCTCACAGCTACAGAGTGATCTACATTGGTCTCATAATTTTGAGATAAATGTGCTCAAAAGTCTGACAATCTGTGTAACGTTAAGGAAATTCACTACCTAACACCTTTTTTCTACAATGAAGCACCCTTTTCTGTGTTATTTCATATCACATAGTTTTTATATGTGTACAATGTCCAGAACTGTGCTGCTAGCTAACCATGTGCTGATTAGCATTTGTGAGTAAAAAAATGGTAGAAGCGCGGCTCTAGACGACGACGATGATTTGTAAGTCGCTTTGGTTAATAAAAACGTCTGCCAAATGCATAACGTTACATGTAAATATGTAGATATGATCTTACAAATCATCTCTGTCAAATTAATCTTAAAACATGGATTTTAATATGAAACACAGGGCAGACATCGTTAGATCAGGGTTTGGATTAAACCTCATTGTCTCCTGCTCTAACTAGCGGGGGAGGGGTGCGCCATGTGACGCGCGCTGGTTTCAGTTAGGTCCTGTAAGCAAATGTAAACGGCCTCCGTGGAGCTCTTGTCTATTATTCGTGTTCGTCGCTAGATTGAAACAAGAAGTATTCTCAGCATGTCTGGAAGAGGCAAAGGTGGTAAAGGACTCGGAAAAGGAGGCGCTAAGCGCCACCGAAAGGTTCTCCGGGATAATATCCAGGGCATCACTAAACCCGCTATTCGTCGTCTGGCGCGTCGCGGCGGCGTCAAGCGTATTTCTGGTCTGATCTATGAGGAGACGCGCGGCGTGCTGAAGGTGTTTCTGGAGAACGTGATTCGAGATGCTGTGACCTACACTGAGCACGCTAAATGTTTTCCATTTTATTCCATTGTTGTTTTTAAACATTTATTTTTGACTATATATATATATATATATATTCTTTGTAAATGATGAAATAAAAT